ATAGCTATTTTAATTGCTAGAAATAATGACATTTAAAATGATAACAGTGATACTTCAACAATTTTTTTAGAAAAAAAAATTTATTTTGCTTACTAAAATGCCTAAAACTAATATAAGGATATTAAGAACACTTTTATTATCAGTCAACCCAATGAAAGATAAAGACAACTACATGATGTGAGGGGAAATGAAATACTTCATGAATCCTACACAAGTTCCACTGGTTTAAATTAAAAGAAAAAAAATAGAAGGGATTAAAATTTCTATCTGTAGTTTTTAGTAAGTTCTAGAAATTGCATGCCTAACGCTAATTAATATATAATGGCAGTAGTACCTCCAAAATGGACATTTATAGTAGCAGAGCAATCATAAAAGCATTTCACAAATACAGAAGCAAACAATTTTCATCTGTGATATTCATCAGTAAAATTGTATCAAATGCAATAATTTTCCTCAAAACATAGGCATGATATTTTGAAAATAAATCTGTGAGATTCACTATGTAGGAACTAAGCACATATGACAGATAGGATGAGAAAGAATCTGATGTACGTCCTCTTTCTTTGCATTTCTTTCCACTGTCTTTCTTTCCTTCCATTCTATTCTTCTTTCCTTCCATGTTCCTTATTCCTTCTCTCCTTTTCTTTTTAACTCAGATTTCATTGATCACTTGTACTAGTCTAGGCTCTAGACTAGTGTTTCAGAGCAACATAAGATATAGTGTCCAATTTTGAATAACTCAATATTATGGTGGAGAAGGACTTACAGAAGAGTATTTTTGAAATCTGTATGCTATATTGAAGCTATCTGCAGGAAGCTATGGGACACCGAAAATGAAAGGATGATGAAGTGTTAATGGTTGAGAAAATTAGTATTCAGTGTAATGATTACAACCCTGGTTTAAGATGTAGCAGGTAGGTTTGAAGTAAGATTAGATTGTTCAGATAATTACAAAGAGTTCAGCATGTTGAAAGTATTGTGTGACTGGGGACTGCTGATCAACAAAGATGTGATGACAGAAGTAAGCTGCACAATATCTGGGAAAGAACTGAGTAAGTTTGAAGAGTTTTAAGAGAGGGAGCTCCATCCATGGACTAAATTAAGTAAATGAGTCCACTAGAAACTTAATTCAGTCAAAATGATATTATGTCCCTGTTAGGTCATTTTCCCGTCCTTCCGCCCCCCCACTCCCACAAAATGTGATTATGTATGTGTTCAGTAGTGTTCAGCAGTCATTTGCTTATTAAGTGATGGACTATAATTGAGTTTTTTTTTTAATTTTTTATTTTTTCAGCGTAACAGTATTCATTATTTTTGCACCACACCCAGTGCTCCATGCAATCCGTGCCCTCTCCAATACCCACCACCTGGATCCCCCAACCTCCCACCCCCAACCCCTTTGAGTTTATTTTTTTTAATAAAAATGGTAATATATTTATATTATGATTGTTGTATCACCAATACCAACTGCAGTACCTATCACAGGATAGGTGTTCTATACATATTTACTAAATGAATAAACAGATGATTTTAGTCTGAGTCCATGAGAAATTTATAGTTACATCCTTTAGAGGTACTATTTATTAAATCCAAGTTTTGACTCTGTGGATGACAAGACTAATGTGGAAGGCAGAATTATAAAGATCCCCCAAGATTTTTGATCTCTGATTATTCAGTCAAATGCTAATCCTTAATAAACCTGTGAATGGACTTTGCAGATATAATTAAGGCAACTAGCCAGGTGAGCTTAAGACAGATTATTCTGGGTTACTCAAGGGAGGTAAATGTAATCACATGGATCCTTAAAAGCAAAACAGGAAGACAGAAAAGTCAATCAGAGACATGTAGCCAACGGAGAGGTCTTAGAGATTCGAAGCTTGAGGGAGACTCAACCTACATGTACATGCAACATGTAAGGAAGCCAGATGAAAATATGATAAGTAATATAAGCACTCTCCAGATGCAAAGGATGATCCCTGGCTGACAGCCTCCAAGGAAGCAAAGACCTAAGTCTTACAATTGGCAAGAAACTGAATCAGTACGTCAACCCGAATGACCTTGGAAAGAGATTCATCCCAGAGTCTGCAGAAAGGAACATCTTGAATTTGAAATCCGGAATAAGGAGCCAGCTACGTCCTACTATACTCAGACTTGTGACTCACAGAACTGTGAGATAATAAATGGGTGTTAATTTAAACTGCTAAATTTGTGGTAATTTGTTATAACTACTAAAACAAGCAATTATAATATTCTTTCCTTAAAATAAATATTATGGGAAAGCAAACTTTGAATGATGTCTCAGGCATTTAAATTTTACTTGATTTCAACACATATTAAATAGCAATTTATTATGTTCTCTTCAAAGTGAAAGAGAATAAAATATTTGAGTGAGAATTAGGTTGTAAGAACTCAGGGGACATTACTACTATTCCTTTTAAGCATTCCATCATGGGCTTACAAGCATCATGACTATTGAAAAGAAAGGTGAGAGGGGTATCTATTTAATGTGAAAAGGAGGGTGAGAAGAGAGAGAGCTTGTCTGTAGGTCTCAATGGTTTCAGTGAAATACAAGATTTTCTTCTGAGTATGAAAGAGTTGGAATTAAATATGGGATAAGCAGAATCTGAGAACATAATTGAACAATGACAAATAATAAAGTTTGCTGAGAGTTCCAAAGAATAAAATTATGACAAAATATTTAACTGTTGTCCTTTTTGTACTTCTCTCATCCCAGAAAACTCAGGTCGGTTCATTTCAAGAATTTTCTGCAAACTAGCAGTTGTTTCTTTCTTTCTTTCATTCCTTTTTTTTAAATTTCTGTTTTTGTTTTGGTTTGTTTTGGCAAAAGATGCATATGCTCTTTTAGAAAAATAATTCTTTAGATCTTCTATGTTGATCTAAATTGCTGAGACCAATAAATAGTCTGAACAAGCACAAAATTAGGATTCAATTCCTAATGCTTAACATATTAAAAATTATGGAACCAAATCCAATTCACAAACACATCTGTAAATACTGTATAAAACAAATACAATGTAAATTAATGGCAAGCTTGATGTGATTGATCATGTTTGCTGAATGGAACAATCTACCATAAGATGAATTTGGCACCCATGGCTTTGGAGTTTTGGAGTTCATCCTGACATGCATTTCCATGTGTTCACTCATTCTTCACAGCTTTGCAAAAGCTATATGGGACTTTCCTTGACTGAAACATATTATTGACAAGCAACCTTGTCATTTTATTATTTTCTTATCAGCTTATCATAATTAAATAAAGACTGTTTTACACCAACATATTTGTAAAGGTACAGGCATTATATCACCCACATATTCCAAATATGCTTATATTAATTTTAAATTCAAATGCTCTATGTTTTCACCTCAAAATAAATTAATAAGGAGTAATATGTACATGATTAAACAAAGAAATGAGAAACTGATATGCAGCATAAAGATTACAGAGTGACAGAAAAGTCTGCCTCCTGCCACTGGTCCCCCAGTCCTTCATCCCCTATACTGAGGCAACCATTGTAGCCATTTTTTATTACTCTAGAAATCATTTGTTTATAAATATGTACTGCGTGTGTATGTATATGCAAGTGAATGTGTGATTAGTAAATACATATTTATTATGCAACTAAAAATGGCTCCAAACTTTGTTATCTTCAAGTAATAAGAAGTCTTAAAGATTTTTTTCTTATTATTTCCTGAAGATTTACGTTATTGTTTCAGTGGCTACACATTTTTAATGATAACGTCATAATTTCTTTAATTCTCTACTGATGATTCTTCAGTTGTCTGCTACAACAAACAGCTCTGCATTAGACATTTAACTGTTATATTTAAAACCACATTTTCCTTTATCGGGTACCATTTTATTTATTATTTATTTATTTATTTATTCAAAATGTTATTTATTTATTTGACAGAAGGAGACACAGCAAGAGAGGGAACACAAGCAGGGGGAGTAGGTTAGGGAGAATCAGACTCCCCGATGAGTGAAGAGCCTGATTCAGAGCTTGATCCCAGGACTCCGGGATAATGACCTGAGATGAAGGCAGATGCTTAACAACTGAGCCACTCAGGCACCCCTGGTATAACTTGTTTAAAAAAATAGACTTTATTTTTTTAAAGCAATTTTAGGTTCACAGTGAAATTTAGCAGATAGTACAGAAATTTTCCATGTGCCACGGACTTATACGTAGCCTCCTTACTATCGACATCTCCCACTAAAGTGGTACATTTGTTACAATTTATGAACGCTTGACACATTATTTACTTAAAATCCGTAGTCCACATTACAGTTCACTAGATATGGTACATTCTATGGGTTTACAATGTATGAGGACATGTATCCGCTATTATAGCATTTTACATAATGTTTTCACTGCCCTAAAAGTCCTCTTGCTCCACCTATTCATCCTATATTAATTTTCATGTCATCTATAGAATGAAAAATAGTAAAAACACTAGTGCCTCAGGAAGGAGTGTCTGAAAAACCTTTGTGCAGGTTCTCTAGTGGGGGAAGTAAAATTCCACTTTCAGTGTAGGAGATGTAGATTGCCCCAGAGTAAAATGATAACCACAGTGATCCCTTTCTTAGCAGAGAGAGTGCAGAGAGAAATGGGTGGGCAGAGCTGGCACTAAGACCCTGGGTTTCCCCAGAGACTGATGGATCCAGCAGAGACCTCCTGGCCCACAGCAATTAGGAAGAAAGAAAGAAAGTATGTAAAACTGTTTTCCCCTGGAAAACACCAATGAAGATAGAAAAGTTATTTATTTAGAGGCTTTTGTTTAATGTAAATTATTGAAGAAAGGAGATGGAAGAAGACTGAATTAAATAGACAAAGAAAGGTCATTTTTCTAAAAATATAACAAATGCAGGAGAAAGGAGAAAGCTAAATAAAGAAGTATAGAGGAGTGACACAAAAACTGGATAAGAAAATTAAATTCAGGGGCAGAGTCTTAGAATTTAGTAGTTATAAAAAAAGAAGCAATAACAAAACATTGGCCAGATTTTAATATTCAGACAGCATCAAAATAGTTTTCACTTACACTTTTCATAAAAGTTATGGTTTGAATTCAACATCTTCTGTAATTTGGCTGCAACAGTTTGGAGTTTTTAAATTTCCATTTCATTTACAGGTTTTAAAGTTGGCTGTAAAAATCTGTTCCCAAACAAACTCAGACCTACCAAAAGAATTAAACATATTTTATGTACTCTCAAGACAGTTTTATCTCTCCTGAAAAAAAAAATAAAAAATAAAAGTACAATATTACCAGCCTCCTACTCTTACACATGGTTAAGATGGGAAAAGATTTTGATATCAAGTATTATGTATGCCACTTACCCTTCAGTAAAATAAAATAAGCATTTAACCAGATTGAGATACTGATGTTTATAAAGAGTATCATATAAGTTGGTATTTTTTAGATGTGTTTTATGATGTATTCATAAATAATAGATCTATAGCATGCAAATATACTGCCGAAGTGTAATTCTAACATGTTTGGAAATAGATGCTGTGCTTTTAAAGTACTTATTTTGAATTTTATTAACAATAACACAACATGTGGCTTGCCGTGTATTATCTACTTCATAGAGAGCACTTACTTGAAATCTTTTATTCTTACTTTATAGTTACATAAAAAATTAAATCCATGCACAAGAAATAGTCTAGCAAGTTACCCTGTTTTATTATGTTGGGTTAAAATTATAATCAATATCACTATTTTTAAAAACAATAATAGAAGGTATTGATAGGTAAAACAGGTTAAGATATACAGATTTATTAAGCATTGGTTGATATATACAATATATGCTTCAGATTAAACAAAATATACAGCAGTTGATTTTGTTTAGTAATATATATTCAAATAGATATTATGATTCAACAGTGCTTTATTGAAACAATTATGATTATTAAGTAAGAATTCCATTTTCAATAGGGACCTATCTATGCCCTTGCAAAGTTTCTGAAGTATAATGAGAACTAAATAAACAAATCTTTAAAAATTGAAATAATAAAAATATATTAAAATAGTTGTCTACCAAATTACACTATCCCTGCTAATGCATAACCATGTATTATTAAAGACTACAGTAGAGCCTAAATGTCTTGTAAATGAATTTTCATGAAATAGATAAACAGATAAATTACAAAATAATACATATTATTAAGTCAAAGTGTCCTTAATGCATACAGGTTCAATATAATTAATATTCTATATTATAATTAATATTCTGTATTATTGTTCATTATACAAAATTTATTTTAAAATGTAAAATATAAATTATTTAAATTTTTTATTTTCATTAATGTTTTATACTTTACTTCATTAAAGGGAACAATATTTTATAGGTACTTTTTGATCATTGATTTAGCTAACCTAGGTGTTATATCATGGCTTGTATATAATTAAGTGTATAGATTCAACCAGAATCAATTTACTGATTCTGGTCAGTAAAGTACCAGAAAATTAGAGATTCTGATCATCTGATTTTCATTGCTTTTAAAGTATTCTCATCTCTTATAATATGTTATAATTTCTTATTTAAATTTTATTCATCTATACTCACAAATATTTTACTTATAAATGTATTTTCTTGGATTTTTCATATGTAATGTTACATAGATGTCATGGATTTTTTAATATACAGCATGTAATTACTAATATCATTGAGATTTCTAAATATTACAGTATATATTTTATCTAGTGCTTTATATTATCATTTTCTGTTAATATTTACATATTATCTACATCATTCCTAAATTAGTTCTTTACATTTTCTTTATATTTCTCTATATTGTTATTATATTATTCTCTGTATTATTATATATATTTACTCTTTATGAATGTGGTATATATTTCTATTATCCAAGAATGATACTGTTCTATGATTCATATCCATATGATATCTCGTATCCTACATTAAGCAAATATTTATATTTTTGTGAAGTTTTTATTAGAAAAAATAATTGCAGTAAATGTATTGGTCCTTAAGTTTATTCTTAGATTATCATACTAATGCTTTTATAAAGTCATTTATGTTTGAATTTTTCAGAGGATTTATAATTTATTAAGGTAGATCATTCTTGAATGAATAATAGTCTATATTAGCCTACTGTAAATTTATGATTTTTCTTTTGGATATATCAATATAAGTATATTGATTATTTAATTATAATGATGAATACCTAAGGGTCTGGATGTACATTCCAAATTGACTTCCAAATAAGTTAAATAAAGCAAAGCATAAGAGTTTCCCTTAAATCATTTCATTGCATTTTATTAATATTACAAAAATGTTTTCAAATTGAAAATATCCATGAGAAATTTTTGTTCTAATTAGTATTACTTGAATTATCAATGGGATTAAAAATGGTTTCTTAAGATTTTCTTTTTGTCCATTTTTGAAAATTTATTCTGCACCTTAATTAATTTGTTTGTTACTTATGTGTAGTGTACTTCCTTTAGGAACTAGCCCATTCTTTTTAGCAGGACACTCATAGACATTTCAAAGTAGATATGTGCCCCAGTCCTGAACACATAGTACACACCCCGTGTAGTGCAGAGTAGGAACCTGTTAGGAAACAGGGTTAATCAAAACTGATCCCTGTAATTAATATAATGATGGTAATATAAGGACTTCCCAGGGGTTAGTAACTCCAAAGGATTAAAAACTGGTACTTTTGATGGCCCAGTTTCAAGGTCAAGTGGAGAAGACTAAATGTATTATGAGAAAGTGTGGTCAACACAGAAGGAAAGAAAGCTGAGAGAGGGCAAAGGAGAGGAACTGCAAGCATACGTAGGAGAAATAGAAAGGAATGAGAGACAGAGGCTTGATCCCACTGTTTAAGCTTTGCATTCCTCTATATATGAGGCTACACCAATTGTTGCAAGGATGGTTATATGAATCAATAAAGTCCCTTCTGCCTGATCTAGTTTTATCTCAATGTCATATATGTGTAACAACCAGTATCCAAAAAACATACAGAAACTGATAGCAGAGGCCCTGTGTGGTAACAGCGAATTAAATTGTACAACTAGCAAATTCAAGTTCTGGGAAGTAACAGAAAGGATTTCCTATTTGACCACAATTATGATAATCTTTTTAAATGCCACAAGCAAGGTGGTGAATTCCTACCTTTTTCATCTTTAAAAATGAGATGGTACTAAAGGCCACCACCACCTTCTTCTCCTTCTTGTCCTCCTTCCTCTTCTTCTTTTCCTTCAACTCCTCCTCCTCCTCCTTCTTCATACATCTTCTCTTGATTATAGTTGACACACAATGTTGCATTGGGTTCAGGTTTATCCTTGGTGATGTTATTTTCATTCAATCATTTAAACCGTCTCAGTTAATTTTTGTTAAGAGGACTAACTGGATAGATGGTTAAGAGAAAGAGGACAACCAGAAGATGGGGATTTGATGCAATAACTACAAATGACTTTGAGGTGCATCTTTGGAGAGGGGTAAATTTTTATCTCTTTTTGCTTTTTCAATAATGGGCATTGGCATTAAGATAGGCATATTATTTTTGAAGTATATTTCAGGGAAAAAGAGTCCATTGCTAAAGGAAGGATTTTCTTTGAGACCAGAATTTCCTCATTGTATGTGACCTCACTAGAATTTTCAGCCATATAAAACCGTGCTCCATACATGAAAGTCAGGGATGAACATATAACTGAAGTTTTCCTAATTCTAATACTTCCTGTCCCTGGTAAGAGTGATTATTTTTAGCAGTGATCACAGTACATAATACAATCTTTCACTAAAAACATAGAAACCGAAGTTAAAAAAAAAATTCCTCTGCTGAGGATAAAATTGGGTCTTTTATCTAATGCATTATCCTCATATTTTATTGAAGCATTCATCTTATTATTGTTTTAAAGATTTTATTTATTTGAGAGAGAGAACGAGTGAGCAGAAGCAGGGGAGGGTCAGAGGGAGAAGCAGACTGCCCCCTCAGCATGGAGCCAGAAAATGAGAGCAATCCCAGGACTCTGCGATCATGACCTAAGCCAAAGTCAGATGTTTAACTGACTGAGCCATCCAGGGACCTGGTCATCTTATTATTATTGATTTCTTGTGAACAGTATATTTTAAATGGAAAACTTTACTCTGGTTTTTTTTTTTTAAGATTTTTTTTATTTTTATTTTTATTTTTAAGTAATTTCTGAACCCAGTGTAGGGTTCAAACTCACAACCCTGGGATCAAGAGTTGCATGCTCTATTGACTGAGCCAGACAGCCATGCCTACTTTGTTGTGTTTTCATTTGTTCCATCATTTAAGAATTAGTTTGAAAAGTTTTATAAAATATCAAAATTTTTGAAATTTCTTAGGTCTTTATCTGAAATTTTAAAGTTTATATAATCATATAGTTCATGTAATGCACAATTATAATCATGTAATCATACACATGATTAACATATTACATATAAATCTCTCTTTGAAAGGTGAATTTTTCTTTGAAATAGAGTGAAATTTATAAGGCCTCTTGAAATAAGTACAAAGCTCCATCCTCTAGAAGTAAAACCTTTATATTAGCAAGTAATGCATTTTCAAATTAAATAAAAATTCATTGTCATTTTTATCTCACTGTTGTCACACCAGTCCAAGTCCCCATAATCTCTTCCTTAGACCACTACCATGATCTTTACTTTACTTGTCTCCTTTCTTCCAGTTTGCCCTCTTATACTATTTATCCATTTTTCCAGAGTTATTTTTGTTTAAATTCTTCCAGTAAATTCATACCTAAAAAGCGACCAAATTATATTCAATAATCCTTCCTGATATGGCCCCATTGACCTCTAGGGCCTCATATTTTATCACTTTTCTCACTCACTGCCTTCGAAACACTGCTTGCTCTCTGTTTCCCAGAACTTTTATACTTTGCTTCCTTTCCTTGAAATACTACCCCATGTACCACCACTAAGCAACTGTCCTCTCATCATCCAGGTCAAATATCATTTCCAGAAAGAAGGTTCCTCTTACCTACTGATTAACCCCCTCTGTAAAGAGTGAAATCAATGTAATACCTGGCTTGCTAAAATTTAACACCTAGTCCCCTGAGGGCAGGAAAGGTTTCAAAGAAGGGCTTAGGCCTTTGGAATTCCAAGGGAGGTCTGTGTGACCACTCTGCCCTTGGAATGCCCCTGGGAGTTGCTTTCTTAGCCCAAACAGCTGCCCTATGATCTAAGAAATGTATGCGTGGTCCCTTAGGCTATGTTTAGCAGAACTCAGAACATGCAGATTAGCATATCATATTTTTCTGGTAAACAGATCCTCCCAGTTTCATTAAAACCCCTTGTCACTCAACATGTGCTTCAGAAACAGTGATAAGGATTTATGATTACCCTGTAGGACCAGTAAAATTGGAAGCAAAGAAGAGCAAGGGTCTCTGTCTCTGAGCATTGACCCTTTGGTTTCTTCTCATTCACAGCAAAGTTTGGAGTAATCTTTCTTCCATTGGTACAGGGATTGCTGGCCATTCCTGGCACCCCTCTTTTCAATCTCATACCATATAATTAATTAAATCTGAAATTGACAGGTCCCTGTTACACCAAACTGTTTCTCACCAAAAACCATTAAAAAATTACCACCTCTTGCTACTCATTAGACTAAAATTCATGTTCATTAAAACTCCCAATAATTCTCATCCAATCCATTGTGACCTTGCATTTATCACATCGTGCTCTCTCTCTCTCTCTCTCTCTCTCTCACACACACACACACACACACACACACTTTAGGTTACCTGCAGACTAGATTAACCTGCTCACTGTGATCACTGTATATCATATGTGTAACCAATTTATGTTTTAATTCAGCAGCTTATGTGTTTATATTTAAATGCTACTTATTCCTTTATTTTTAACAACACATGATGTTTGAACATGGTGGTTGGTGGATGGATGAACGTCCGTTCTATTTAACAAAGAATTAGTGGACAGTGTTCTGGGTGCTAATATAAACAATAATATCATAATTCATTTCTCTCTTACTGAGTTTTTAATTTATGCCACATTTGGGACACCTGGGTGGCTCAGTTGGTTAAGCAGCTGCCTTCAGCTCACGTCATGATCTCAGCATCCTGGGATCGAGTCTCACATTGGGCTCCTTGCTCAGCGGGGAGCCTGCTTCTCCCTCTGCCTCTGCCTGCCACTCTGTCTGCCTGTGCTCACTCTCTCTGACAAATAAATAAATAAAATCTTAAAAAAAAAAAAGCTGACAAATTAAAAAAAAAAAGTTTATGCCACATTTTTCATCTCATTGGTCAGATAAATCCAATCACCTACCTCTTATTTACTCTCTAAACACCCCCTTTTTTAAAGATTTATTTATTTTTATATAGAGATGGAGAGACTGCAAGTGGAGGGAGAGTGAAGGGAATAGGAAAAGGATGGGGGAAGGAGGTATGAAAGAATCTCAATCAGACTCTACACTGAGTGTGAAGCCCAACACACAACTCCATCTCACGTCCCTGAGATCGTGACCTGAGCTGAAAATCAAGAGTTGGATGCTTAACCAACTGAACCACCCAGCCCCTCCCCATAGTATACTTTTATACACTGATAAACATGTACTCATTCACCCACTTTCTGATGACTTCAGTTGTTTAAAAATTTGCTATACACAGACTTTCCACCCTCTCCAATAGTTAACTCAAAATAGATCATCTAATTAAAATACAAAACTATAAAACTTCTAGAACACAACTTAAAGTTTAGACAATCTCCAGTATGGCAATGACTTTTTGATACAACACAAAAGTCACGATCCATGAAATAAATAATTGACAAGCTGGACTTCATTAAAATTAAAACTTCTGCTCTGTGAAAGACAGGCTACAGACTTGAAAAAAATATTTGCAAAAGACAGGTCTGATAAAGATGATGGAAGACTGTTTTCCAATATGTACAAAAAATTCTTAAACTAAACAATAAGAAAATAACCCAATTTTTTAAAATGGGGCAAAGATCTTAACAGAAACTCACTAAACAAGATACATAGATGGCAAGTAAACATACAGAAGTATACTACACATCATATATCATTAGGGAAAGCAGATTAAAATAACAATGAAATATAGACCTTATTACAATGGTAAAAATCCTGAATGCTGACATTACAAAATACTGGCAAGGATGTGGAACAATGGGAATTCTCATTCATTGCTGATGGGAATGAAAAATGGTACAGCCGTTTTGGAAGACAGGGTGGTGGTTTATTACAAAACTAAGCATCCTCTTACCATATGATCCAGCAGTCACACTCCTTGGTATTTAACCAAAGGAGGTAAAAACTTATGTCTACACAAAACATGCATAAGCATGTTTATAGGATATTTATTCATAATTGCCAAAACTTAGAGATGCCAAAATGTCTGTCAGTGGGTGAAAGGATAAAATAAACTGTTGTATATCAAGACAATGGAATCTTATTCAGCATTAAAAAATATGACCTATCAAGCTATGAAAATGCATGGAAGAATCTTAGATACCTATCATTAAGTGAAATAAGCCAATCTTAAAAGGGTGCAAACTATATGATTACAACTATAAGAGATTTTGGAAAAGGCAAAATATGGAGAGAGTGAAAAGATCAGTGCTTGCCTGGGGTTGAGGTGGAGAAGAATGAAGAGGTGAGAAGAATGAAAAGATGGAACACTCAGGATTTTGAAGACAGTGAAATGCTTTGCACGATACCATAATGATGGATACACGGCATTGTACATTTGTTAAACCCATAGAATGTACAACACCAAGAGTGAACTGTAATGTAAACTATGGTAGCTATTTACATGGTTTAAGAGCATTTTGTTTCTTTGTTTGTTTGTTTAAGATAACTCAGTGTCAGTACAAAAAATATAGCAGAAGAAAAATAAATTGGTAGTATGTTTACAGCTCTGTTCATAGAATTGATTTCCTAAATTCCTGAAGCTAACAAGACAGTAAAGGGATGTGAAACTTGAGGATGTACTCAGCTATCCTTTCTTGAAGGCTATTAATCAACAAAACCTTGAGGAACACCATGCCACCGAATAGAGAGTGTAAATATTATTTTCTCCAGACATAGATAGTTTCCATCTTACATGGTAAAACTAAGTTTAGCTCTATGTGTGATTCCTGAAAAGTCTGGTTAATTTCACTTCATTACCAAGTCCAGAAACCAATAAATTGAA